AAAAAAAAAAAAAAAAAAGTACATATACCAATTTGGGAGAAGATTTTCCAATCTCTAGAAATGAACAAAACATTGGGGAATAACGAAACAAGTGTGTTTTACTTGCTACGTCTTCTATGTTGTGTATCTATCAGCAACAATGAGAAAAATTCGAGAATTATTCTTTTCCAAAAGAATGCTTACATACAGCATGTTCATTGTAATACCCATTTTTCTGTGTCGGTTGCGATATACAATTTATTTACATCCCATTTATTTTTAAAAAGGGGGAGAGGGGGTAATAGATTTCCTTAAACTGCCTAAATGTGAGCACTAATATCCCGATAGTGCCTCATTGCTTAAGGAAAGAAGCCATATTGTAACATATCTCTCTACAAAGAGGGAAACGTTGCACATTTGTATGGGGGCGCTAAGGCTGTCTGCCCTGACCACTTCGCCCCGTCGACGCTATTGTGACGATTTTCCTTTTTAGTCCATGTCGACCGAGCATCACAAATGCTTCAGTCACTGGCTTCCTTTTTCCCTCCATCGTGTGATTGCGATAATTTATGTAGATGAACTTTTCAACTGTGTCCCCCTCCCCCTGTCCCGCATAATTAGGCTTTGCAAATTAGACAAGTCAACTTTTTTTTGTAATAAATTTGTATATTTTTATTCGCCCACATAATTTAAGGGGTAAAAATATATGATTTTATATTGTCCACAGTTTTTCCTCCTATATTTCCCCCCATCTTGTTCTCACCTTTCCTTCCATGTTGCTCCCAATCTTACTTCCAACCCTGGCTTCCAATCCTTCCTCCGATCTTTCTCATGATTTTTTTTTTTCCTTCATGTTGAAACTTCAGTCAACTGCAAATGCATCACATTTGTGTCATTCGACTCAGAAATCGAAAGCGCCTTCTTGAGTTGCAAAATTAACCCCCTCTAGAAATGACCATTTAACTATGAAATAACCTTTTTCATCGCTTAAAAATGATATTTTAGGTCAATCAGAACGGAGGGGAGGAGGTCCCATCCTTACGCGTACTAAAATGATGCCGCCACAATGCTGTATCACTCCAACAGCTCCTAAGCGTGGTGCCAATCTCCTGGTAATCTTTCTACAACGCACTATTTTGCCTAAAAAAAAAGAAAAAGAATAATTATCTAAATTTCGCCATTAAAATGTCTGATGTGTGATGTCTGATGTGTGATGTCTGATGTGCTTACTCCCCTTTTTTAAAGTGTAATATCTGAAAGTAGGTTTTTTTCGCTACAATAAATTAAAAATGCTTCCACCTTTTTTTTGTAATTTTGCTAACGCATTATGCTCGTTTATATGGCTTTAAGGAAAAAAAAAAGTATATCATAACGTGTACAAAATGGGAAGTGTGCCCATTTGGGGGCACTCCTCATCCGCGTGGAAAATATAACAGAAGAAGCCTTCGATATCTCACCTAGCAACCATAGAACTACCCATTTGGGACGCACTAAAAGTTATTAACATTCCTATAGGTAGCAGCCATGATTAATCGTTTTCTCTACATAATAGTACCATGTTGAGACAACGGTTCAAACGTTCCTCATAATGCGAAAGAAAACACAGCATCAAAACATCTTTTTTATACAATAATAATAACTTTGAATTAAGAAAAAAAACGGCTTATAGCGATATTGCCACAAAGTTTATCTTCATTTTAACATAATTAAATTTGCTTCGGCGGGATTTAAAACATATTTATATATGAATACACCGAAATATATACATATATATATATGTGCATGTGGATAATAAATGCGTAGATATATACCCTTAATGCACTAAACCTTGATAAAAAGAGGCATAAATTAATATACTGTTTATGCACAAGGGAATGTACACTTCAATAATTAGGGCTATATATGGTATGAAGAAAAAAAAAAAAAAAGAAAAAGTGGGAACAATGTAGTGTTAGCTGTTAGCACCTCAGGGAAAAAGGACTGGAGATAAAAATAATTGTGTTATAACA